GTCAAGCATGGCAGAGTTTCTGTGGAGAAAAAATTATAACACTATCTTGTATCGAGTTTAGGACTATGACACTGTTAATGAATAGATGTAATTTACTACATTGTATGAAAGTTGAACTACTTTTCCTAAAGTAAAACCTTTCTCACACAAAATGTCTTCTGTTTGTACTTTTCCTAAAGTAAAACCTTTCTCACACAAAATGCATAATTTAATACACTAATTAAATGAAGCCCTCATGAACTTATAGTGCTAATCCTCAGAATCATTCTGAGGTAGAGTTTGAATGTTTGAAAAAAATTCTAAAATCAGATGAATAGGTGCGTGTGTGTTAATATTTTTGCTCTCTGAACTTTGCCTGTAGATGTGTTTCAAAACAGAAAACATTACAATTAATCTGATAAATCACAAGAAAGATTTTGCAGATCAAGGTAATGTGGTGATAGCCTTTGATTATAATAAAACTCTGGTTTGGTTGTCTATAGTTTTAATATACAGTTGGGCATCGATTGTTTGAAATAATCAAGATGATCTATGCCCTACCATATATTATGATGTTTGAATGATTAGCTCTTGTTCTTAATATTTCTTGTCTTTTCCATTAAGTTTGTAGATTGCAATAAAACACTGTATTGAATACATAACAAAATTAATATTAAATAACACATGGTTTTCATGTAAAAATTATTTATTATAGTTTTGTTTTGAAGTAAGTCACTTATTATGCTTTGTTTTACATAGTATAATTTAAGAAAGACTATTAATAAATCCCTGCTTGAATCTAAAATTGAAAAATCTGCTGTTGGTTACATTTATAATATCAATGCTGTTTCTAATGCATCAAGCTGTGCTCATTGCCTAGGCACACTGAAGTATTCAATGCATTAGAAGCTTGTGATTTATTAATCATGCATTTCTGTTTGTACTGTAATAAATAAAACCTAATACTAGTGCTGATAGTGAGATATTTCAACAGCGGGCCTATAGAAGATCATTGAAATTGTTGTTATATAAAAAATTTGTAATTTCTGGAATTAATACTTTGAGTTGATTTTGGATAATCAATGCTTTACTGTACTTACTTCAAATTTTAATTTCTTAGTTTGCTTATATGCACAAATTATTTTTATCATAATGTTTAAACTGTAAATAAAAAAAGTATTAATTTATATTTATTTCATTGAAGTAATATGTAATTGGATATTATAAATTGAATAAGAAAATTCATATTCAATAGAAATCTTTGTGAGTTTGTAAACAGTTTTGATTTAAATTGTATATTATACTGAAATATAGTAAAAACTAATATATACAGTAAGACCCTGTTTAATGCTGATTCAATATAATGTGGTCTGCTCAAAGCCTAAAAAAAAGCTCAAAAATTTGCGCTGATTCAAATTATCACGGCATTTCATTGATTCATATATAATATGATTATTTACAAACACAAACCAATCAGCAAAAGGTGGCAATTCGTCATAGTTCTGTACTTTCCTTAAATCTATATTTGTTTGGTGCAATTTTGAAAAAAAAAATTATAACATCGTGGATGCCGTAGGCCAGTGTTTTTCAACCTTCTTGAATACGCGACCCCTTTACAAGTTAAAAAATTCTGGCAACCCCCCAGGGCCATATTAAAACTATATCAGTGATTTTAAAAACTACGTATTTAATTTTCTTTCTGTTGAGACCTAAATATCGATCGAAAAACCAATTGTACTGTAAAATAAACAAGTACAGCCTTCTCACTGAAATTATAGTTTTTTTTATTGTAGTGTAGGACCTACAAACACTTGTCTTTTTCTTTTACCCAAGACTCCCCATGTAAGGCTTTGCGACCCCCTGGGGATCGTGACCAGTGCCGGCCCGAACCAAGTTTTAGAATGGAGCGAGATCCTATTATGGCGCCCCCCTTGGTTGTCCCTAATTTATACCCTTTAATTTTCTTTACCACTGAGGCGCCCCCTAGGACAGCGCCTGGAGCGGCTGCTCTGTTCGCCCTATGGTAGGGCCGGCTCTGGTCATGATCCACAGGTTGAAAAACACTGCCGTAGGCAATATCGACTTTGCTTTGCAATAATTAACTGATAAATGCATGAATGGAGTTTGGAAGAAGTTATGGTTGAAGGTATTCAGGGCCAGATCATTGCATAGACAAATGAGACAAATGTCTAGGGCCTGGTCAAACTGTCTGTTTTGAAAAGATTTGTAAATAAGATAGTTTATTTACTAAACTAAAACAAATCTTAAATTTTTATTAATAAAAATTTAAGATTTGTTTTAGTTTTTCACATTTAGTTTTGTTTTATTTATTGTTTCATATTTCTTGTGGGAGAGGGAGTGGACCCGGTAAGAAGAAAATGTCTAGGACCCCAAAGTGGGTTAATCCGACCCTGAAGGTATCCAAGAATTCTCAAAGAGAAGAGCCTATCATTGACCAAATTGTCAACCTAATCAATACTGCAGGACTAGGAGATGTAGACGAGTAGGATATTGAGTATTTACCGCAGGTTTCTGGTGAGAACCTAATCAAATTTTAGCGAATGATTCAGATTTTGAAAGCAGTGCAAAAGCAAAATGAGGCGTTTTGGATGCAATCTTCTGCTATCGACATTTGCTTAAGGAAAGAAAAAAAAGCAACAAATGAAACTACATAACTTTATTGCAAAAAAAAAAAGAAAAGAAAAAAAACAAGAATTTCAGAAAAGCCAGGTCCTTCCTCACAAAAAATGAACTTTACATTTCTGTGTGTATATGTTTGTGTTATTTAACATATATTATTATGCAAATTAATATAAAAGTAACAAGAATTTCAGAAAAGCCAGGACCTTCCTCACAAAAAATGAACTTTACATTTCTGTGTGTATATGTTTGTGTTATTTAACATATATTATTATGCAAATTAATATAAAAGTAACATAAATTATAGTAAAATTTGTATTTTTGGTTGCGTGTTCCCCTTTCCCTATCTACTCTATGTTAAAATGATCTTGTTTTACGCTGTTTTGTTTAGGGTTTTTTCGTCTAGGAACATATCCCCCACATTAAGTGGGGTCTTACTGTATTTATATTTTTTGGAAAGGCCTTAAATTACATTGATGAAAAAGTCTTGGAAATGTAAAAAAATGTGTGTGTAATCATCAATGAAATTGCATCAACTGGTATGTGGGATGTAGAAACAAATATTGCACCAGACCAGTCTGGAGCAATGTTTGCATTTACAACCTGTATATATCCAATAAAAAAATTTTTTTTATCTTGTAGATAGATAGAGTTAATATAAAATATATTAATAAGAAAAGAATTGCCTAAAACAATTGCAGATAAGTCTCCATATTATTATACCATATGGTCTCCATGAGTATTTTGAAAAACATCAAAAATAAGTCATAGTTACAAGCCATTTTTAATAATTTATTCATATATAATTTGGTGGTGGCTACTGTTTGGGATATTCTATTAAAATTTGAGAAGAAAGGTTAATGATTTTTATAATAAATATTCCATTTAGAATTTTCTCATTTAACATATAATAACAAATAATTTCACCATCAGAGAAGACTTAGACAGTATTTACATTGTCTAGCTTTTTATAGAATTCATATTTTGCATATTTGACTCGATTACAAGAGGGGTTTAAAATTATATATATTTCAGATTTATTTGGAGAAAAATTTTAATCAGTAAACTATATTTATATGAAATTAATTACAGCAAAGGATGATTACAACAATTTATCATTGTATGTGTCTTGAAAAATGATCAGTTTATTAACATTAAATTAGATATTTTTTCTAATGTTTATAAAATATTATTTTGTATCTAAAAGCAGATAGATAATATAACTAAACAAAAACTTGCAATGTGCAGTCTAAGCTAATTTTACCTTTTCTATAGAAAAATTACCTATAACAACTAAACAGTACTGAATATTTAATGCTGTCTTATGACAATAAATGTAACACAGTTTTACCAAAATGAGCATTGCATAAAAAAAGGAAATGTTGATTTCATAAGTTTACATGGGTAAATTACAATGTCAGTACTATGAATGAAATTTTTGGCATAATTTTATAATTGTTAAATGTTTGGATGTGGTTTGTGTCCTTAAACATTTAACACAATCCAAACATTCACTGCCAAATGTTTTTCATATCAAACATATAGTTAACAGATAATTCTATTGAGGTATACTTTAAAATAGATTAAAATTATTGATAAAGATATAAAGTTTTATATATTGTGTTAATATCAGTATTGTTGCAATTTCTTAAAAGATAATAATTAAAATGTGCTAATATAATCAAAAATGAAAATTAATATCAGATTAATATCTTTGTGTATTAGTTACATAGTGTTTAAAGACCAAATTTTGTAATTGTCTTCATTATGTATATTGTTCAATGTTATTGCATTATGATCTCTAAAAAATGTTTTAATTTATTCACTGTAACTGAAAATATTAATATAATAAAGTTAGAAAAGATGATAGTATTACTATAAATATTAAAAATCGTAATAATAAACATAATAATCATTTTTGTTGTTGACGTTGTCATTGTCATTGATATTGTCATTGCCATCATCATCAGTATCAATTCCTGATTTCTTATATTTCTCTAGACATTGTTTAGCTAGATCATTGGTTTCTTTTTCAATATAATATAGAATCTCCCCATCCTCATCTACACAAAATTGATTTTTTCCAACAGTTTGATGATGATTGTAATTTCCAGTATTGCCATTGCATTCAAGCCGCGGATAATGGGTACTCATAAATTCTGTATCATATTCATCTCTGGCACAGTCTGAAAATACATTTTTTAATAAAATTATTTTTTGAATATTTTGGTAAATAAAGGTAAACAGAAACTTACTACAGAGCATCTCTGTCTTCATATTAGCTTTTTCAGAACTATAACTTTTGAAACTTTTACCATTTCTATCTGTACAGAAACACCTATAATTTGAAATAAAATTTAATAAATTTTGAATTCACTGACAATTATTAAATTTCATAACATTTTTCATTACATACTTATCAGTAAGACACTGTTTTCTTGAAAAACTTCCATCATAATCACAGTCTACATCTTTCAGACCGATCAATTCAACTCCTTTTAAAGAAAACTGGTGAGTAATTAACTGTGTTCGTTGGACTATTTCTTCACATTTTGTTAAATAATTCTTTCTATGCTTTTCAACATCATCTGTCATGATTATAATTAGTAGTATAATGACAATTGTTCAAAAGTTATATAATTATAAATGAAAAGTTACTCACAACAAGGAAGTAAAGTGATATTTTGAATTAATGTTACTTGTCCTATATGCTTCCCCGAGATAGGATCGGAACAATAGCACACATTTCCCACACATTGCAATTCTTCATAATTACCATTTAATGTACAGTGTTCATGTGGTTCTGTATTCCAAGCAGTTCCAGAATTTTTTTCTTGCTCAAAAAGTGTCAAAGAGCAACCTAAATTTTAGAATATACAATATTAAAAATATTAAATTATCAGTTTGAAAATGTTTAATCTTACCACAAGTCATATTTTTATCCATTTCTTTGTTGGCTTGGCCAAATATGCGTTTTCCATTATTTTCAAAACAGAAACATCTGTCAAAAGAAATTCTATTATTTATTTGTTTATCTAATTGTATTAAATGATTAAAGATTAGGTTTGGTTAATGACTTTTTAATATATCTTAAAAACCTATTTAAAAAAATTTAAGATTTATATGATGTTATTTTGTAATAATAGGAGACTAGTTGTTTGTTATATACATGACAAAAAATGCTATTCAAACTAATCTGAATCCATCTTTAAAAATTACAATGCATTGAAAAAATAATTAAATTAAATTTGAATTTAGATTTCTTAAAAATATATTATTATTTTTCTTGTTTTGCTTAAAAGTTTACCAAGACATCCCATAAACTGTTGTTGTAGTTATTTACTTATTTAATTATAATGAAATTTAAAAATTGGAAATACATACAGAAAGTTTTTATTGTTATTAAAAATGGTTGTATGATTAGGTTATTAACATATAGCTTCCTAGAAACTTCTTACATATATTTCTGCATAAAAGATTTTGATATGTCTACTAGAAAATCAAAGGTATTCAAAATTAGTGCCACCATAATTAGTGCAACACTTAAGAAAAACATGTGACTCAATTTCCTGCTTTGCATTGAATAAAAAACCAAAATAAACATAAAAGAGTTACTTACACACTATCAGAAAGCAAGTTTAATAAAGAATATTTTGGCATTTTAAGATTTAAAATTGAATACTAAACTGTGGAAGTATACACTAAACAAGAAAAAATTGTCTAATATGAAAATGAGAGGTAACAGTTTCAATTTTACCAATTAGATGCCAGTTTTTTTGTACTAGTACAAGCCACCAATGAACATAAAACACAAAATACAGCAATAATCCTTTGGGCATAAATTAAGGACACTTTCTGTTTTTCTATTATGTGGACAAGCAATTGTCTTAAAAAAAAATAACTCTGTGCCTATTCTCATCATTAAGAGAACAAACCACAGTTTTTAGAGAGATTGCTACTGTTTTAAAGTGTCAACTGGTACTGTTTCAAAAATTCTCAAAAGACATGAAGCTACTGGTGAGATTACTGATAGACTGAATATAGGTCAAAGAATCACATCATCTTGACAGGATTGAATTTTGCAGCAGCTGTTACTATCTGATTGGCACTTAAACTGTAATGAACTTCAATGCCAGATGTGCATGCAATAACAGTGTGGATGTTAGTGCATGCTCAGTCTTACAGCAACATAAAGAAAATGGCCTGGAAACTTATAAAGCTTGAAGAAAACTATTAGTCACTAAAAAACAACACTATCCATATGTTAAGTGGGCAAAACAAGCTCAAAAATTGTACCATGGAACAATGGAGAAAAGACATTTGGAATAATAAAACTGTTCTCTCATTTCCCAGACCAGTAGCAAGATTGATTTGCCAACAACCAAACAAAGAGTTCATTCCTACCTATATTGTTCATACCATCAAGCATCCTCCAAAGGTGATAATCTGGGCTGGCATATCAGCCTGTAGTATCGTATAATTCTGATGCACATTGTTCAGAATTCAGTGAGTGGTACAAAATGTATTGGTGTTGAAATGAAATTTCTGCTTTCTGCAACCTGTCATTCAAAGCTGGAACATATCTTAACATTCATCAATGTTCTTCCTTACACATTCTAGCAACTGCTGTTGAAAAAGCTATTTGCCTATTCATAGGGCACAGTTATGTCAGACCTAACAACTTTCAAGTGGAAATGATTGTTGGTGCATGTCTGGTAGGGGCTTCTCTGATCTGAGTTGCTGAGCTGATGGGTGTAATGTATTGCTTTCTTGATCACATCTCAGTATGCAAAGACAGCGAAAACTCTGCCAAAAGAAGCAACTGTGGTCAAAAGTCAAAGCTGGATGAAAAAGATAGAAGAGCACTTCATTGAATTGTAAAGAGAAAACAAAATTACAGCAGTGCACATTACTGCAGAAATGGCTACAGATGCAAGGGTATCGGTATCAGTAAAAACTATCAATACACACTGCATAAAGATAATATTGGTGGCAGGGCTGCAATAGCCAAACTTCTGTTGATACCAGGAAACATCAAACAGGCATGTGTAGTGATGCAAAAGGTATAAAACAGACACCAGGCATGGAAACATATGATATAGTCTGGAAAGCCAACTTTCATTGTGTTTCCTATTTCCAGTCATGTTTATGTTGGAAATCACTGGGTGAAGCACTGAGTGAAACCCACTGTCAAGCATGGCAGAGTTTCTGTATGATTTTGGGTTGTGATATTCAACTTGTTGAGTCTGAAGGTAAAGTAATAGTCCAGAACCATCTGCATATTCTGAATAACCAACTCCATCCCATGATCCAAACTTTGTTTTCAGATGGTAATGCAAAATCCTTTAGGACAACAATGGTCCTATATTCACACTGCTGGGTGTATTCAATCTTGGTTTGAAGAACATGAAACTTACCTTTAGCATCTACCATTCTTGGCCAATCACCAGACTTGAATATTATTGAGCCTGTGGGGCATTTTCTTGAGAAATAGGTTAGATTTCTACTGTCTACTTCCTTCAAGGAATTAGCATCAATATTAGTTGAAGAATGATACAAAATTGACATTAATGTTGTTTGTGATTTAAAAGCATTTTTGGTTAGATTTCATACAATTGTGAAATACTTCCCAATAATTTGCAATTAGATGTCATCGCAATTCACATTTCAACACAATACAAACTAAATAGAAATGCAAGCTTGACATTGACAGGCTTATTTAATGATTAAATAAGCCTGTCAATGTTTTTCAATTGCAATCAAACATTTTTCATTCCTACTATATAATAAAGACCAACTGATATACCTTACTTTTAAGCATAATACACTTTATATTATACACTTTTTCCTTGCAATTGGACATATTAAAACCATGAACTTATTTTTAAATGTAAATACAGTATAATTTTTAACTTCCTGATATATGCATGAAAATGATCTTAGCCAAAATGTAAATTTTTATAGCATTATTAATAATTTTAACAATAGAGGTCACAAGTTATCTGAAATAAGATTTTTTTGAATAAAAATCTATCTTAGATTATGTTAGATATCTATTTAATTCTACTGTAGTTTCTATTTCTCCTTATAAATCTGAAATTAAATTTTTTTTTTTTGATATTTAAATACCTTCCTATGATGTAAAATCATGATGATTCCATTGTTTTCAGTGTGGGGGCCGAGGGGGGGAAAATAAAAAAAATCTCGACGAACGATAATATGTGATATGTATCGTCATCGTCTCCCTTGCCGTTTGGATTGCTGAGTGGTAACAATCAACGACATGTGGAAGCAGTTGAGTCAGAGATAGATGCTTCGTTTACAAACAACACAATCATTTATTAAACACGAAAGAAGCTTACAAGATTTCCGCGATCTTGGAAGTTNTTATATATATATACACTTCTAGTTATTTGAGTTTAAAAATTTAAACAACGAAAAACAAATATACTTAATATTTTTTAAAAAATCAACAATAATGATAAGTTCTCTCTATATGCAATTGTCCAAGCTATTATTGAATAAGCAGAATTTTAAAAAGTTTAAAATTAAAAAAAATCAAATTTATATTATTGTGATATCATCACAATGCTGGGCTGCAATTTTTAATAATCTTTCAATTTAAAGAATCATATGACTTCTGGTTAAGTCCTGAAGTTCATATATAATTAATTGGTCCCTCTGGCCCCTATGCTTTGCATACCTGGTCTTGATTTTCATCTATCTAACTTTGTTCTCAAGATTAGCAAAGGACAAATAGACAACAGTGGGAATGTATAGGTCTGCAAATTGCAGCCCAGGTATGTAAATTACTTTAATACATTAATACTCTACATTATTTTCCCCTTAATACTTTATTATTATATATTATTTTAAAATAGTCATACTAACTTTGAATATGGTATAAAAATGAGTTTATATATAATTGATTAAAAAAAATATTTTTTATAAGCAAAATTTTATTTATGATATAAATCAATGTTTCCCAAACTGTTGCCTCAAGGCTAAATCCTGCTTATAGTACATGTTTATCTGGCCCATGGACATATTTGACACATCAGTTATAAATGATAGAAATATACCTACTTTCTGTATAGATGGAATATATAAAGTATTTGTCACCCATCTACCTACAACCTATGCTCAATTTGGCCTGTTGATTGAAAAGTTGGGGCCACCAATATAAATTATAGGTATGTTTTATGTTCTTAGTTTAATGTATCATATTAAAAATTTTTGCTCTTCTAACATTATTTATTCATATTATAGGTGACGATATTAATCTATAAGTGAACATATATGTAACATGTAATATACAATGTTAAATTCTTTTAAAAAAATTTGAAATTAATGAAATGTACAAAATTGTATACACAAGTAACAACTGATTGGAAGAGTGTCAAAAATTGTTTGGTGTCAAAAATGTTATAAAAAAAATTATCATAAAATGCCCAAAGACCATTGCAAAATTGAAGGATCAGTATAAAGCTATTTCATCAGTCATGTGACAAACTTTCTTAAAGAGCTACTTAAAAAAATAAATTATTTTAAATTACAACATAGAAGTTTGTTAACTGATGATAAAGTTATACTACTCAACAAAATTTAAGGAACAGATTTGTTGAAATATTTCTAAGAATACATGCATGTGTGAGAAAGAAAGAGAATTAAAATATTTCAAACTATGTATATATGAAAAGTGTTAATAGTTGGACAATAAAAGATTTATAAATAAATAAAGCATTAGTAAGATGCCATCATACTTTATGAATATAGTTATTCAGACAGAATAAGTATTACCAAGGCAATGGTTCAGAAAAACTGGTGAGATGTTCAAGTGTTGAATATTTTTTGCTTTCAGGATATTCTTTACCACTAATACCTGATGTACTTTTGCATTACTAATCATAAAAATGAAGTCAGAACTTATTTTAAAAAGGTAAATGAGTTCTAGCATCTTTGGTGAATGGTTGGATCTAATTTTTAAAAAATATTCAGGCTGATGTTTCCATTGAACATAGTTTATTGATTTAGAAAGGAATATCACCATAGCAGGGTCATGGCATTTGACACCAGGAGAAAACTTAAATATGGTGTCATTTGGATAAGCCTTTCATTAGTCTGTTAGAAATTTTAAAATTATACATTAATATAATGCATATCATATTTCAATACAACAGAAAAAGTCCAAAATAATATTAAAAATCACAATAATGTTTGATTAGTTTCAGCTTCATTAAAAATACAATCCATAACAATAATTATAAATACAGTCGACCCCCCCTATAAGATCATTGATTATTCCGTTTTATATGAATTCCATGTTGTACGAGTCACTTAGATTTTACAAATACATGTACCGGGCTGTGAACGGCTCATGTATTTGTAAAATTTAAGTGACTTGTACAACATGGAATTCATATAAAACGGAATAATCAATGATCTTATACGGGGGTCGACTGTACAAAAATAATAGTTTGGAGCAAGACAGTTTACAGGGTGACATGCAAGCTGCATTTATAACACATTAATAATGCATTTCTAGAAAAATTTTTGAAAAAGTTCATAGAAAAATGTACAAGTATACATAACAACAATTTTTCATACTCATATATGACAGTTTTCTATGAATTTTATTAGTAACAATTTTGGAATTTTGGTGCCTCATCATGTTGGTACCCTGGGCATGAGCCCTCTCTGACCCTGCTTTTTCATGGCCCTGCACCATCCTTTCTCTGACAATAGAGGAATGATAGCAAGTTTTTGATTCACTTCATATCAAAATACTTCAAGACTTACTTTGGTCCTTTGCTCACAATTCTGACAACTTCGATTTCAATTGTATTTTCTGTGAGAAATTTTAGTAGAGCATACTATGTTGCATCATGTGGAGATTTCTCTAGATATTTTTTGAGCCATAACTAATCTTGAAATAAAGCATTCTGTAGACATTACAAACTAGAAAGATTTGGTAATGTCTATATGATTTCTAATAGCTAGGATGATGATCAGTTGATGATGTAATCCTTCAAGTGACTTTATGAGCATGTAGAGACAATTTTTAAAAATTAAGGAATGATCTATACATTATTGGAAATGATCTGTGGTATTTCAGATTGTGTCTGTGTTGTTTCTATTCTGTAGAACTTTCTACATCATATTAAAATATTAAATACTTCAAAAATATCTTAGCAAGTATGACATCAAAACATTGAAAAAAGATGCTTGAAATGTTTGGAGAGAATTTATCAAGGTGAGAACTACACCAATTTAAAAAATTATTTTTGTCAATGTGATAAAAACAGTCTTTAATATGTTGCTACTTCAAGGCATCATTATTATGTTTTCTTAATTTTCTTTTGTTGAATAATTGAACACCACTTTTGTTCTTTACTTTTTTCTGAACTAAATATATGACCGATTTTTCAGTAGTCTGATAAGGTTACAAGATATTAGCTGATTGTCATTGCATAATTTATTATTATTTATACATTAAATTTTTTCTCTCTTTTTACTTATATTCTTGTTCTGAATTGTCATAAAACATTTAAAATACCAACAATAAGACTTACTTTTCAAATGTTTTAAATATGAGTATTCTGCAGATGAATGATGTCATTAATAAACAGAATTGATTATACATAATTTAAATCCCCCCTTCTTGCTTAATATTAATGTCCCTCTGAATTTTTTAAAAATAAATTTTGATAAATGATCAAATATAGCATATGAAAGACAAGTTATCAAAGTATTTTATTAAACAGTATTTTTTTATTGTTTTCTTTTAATTTGTCTATAATTTATTATGTTATAAATTGTGTAGATCAACCGAATAGTTGATTACAACAAAATTTATCTTAAATCTGTATAGTTAAATTTACATTTTAGTGTATTGTGATGAATTAAAAATTATGTTTATTGCAATAATACTTATCTGTATTTTATTGTTGGTTGCAATATTAGCTGATGATGTAAAGCTGAAAACAAAAGTATTTGAAACATTGAAAGTTATACTTAAGTATTCTGAATAAATTGAAGAATTTATCAAGTTACATCAAATAATCTTAATTAAAAACTAATTTGAAACTATGTATACAATATCAAGTTTATAATTAAAATCAGCTTATAGAAATTTTTATATAACCTCTAATTATACAGAAATAAATCTAAAGAATGAATAAAACTAAAGAATAAATTTTTTTATTTAAAATTATCAAACCAACACCTTTATTTTTTTAAAAGTATTTGATATTAGAAAAATATTAGATTGATTGATATTAGAAAGAAGGAATTTTAAATGTTGGAGAAAAAATTATAACACTCTTGTATCGAGTTTAGGACTATGACACTGTTAATGAATAGATGTAATTTACTACATTGTATGAAAGTTGAACTACTTTTCCTAAAGTAAAACCTTTCTCACACAAAATGCATAATTTAATACACTAATTAAATGAAGCCCTCATGAACTTATAGTGCTAATCCTCAGAATCATTCTGAGGTAGAGTTTGAATGTTTGAAAAAAATTCTAAAATCAGATGAATAGGTGCGTGTGTGTTAATATTTTTGCTCTCTGAACTTTGCCTGTAGATGTGTTTCAAAACAGAAAACATTACAATTAATCTGATAAATCACAAGAAAGATTTTGCAGATCAAGGTAATATGGTGATAGCCTTTGATTATAATAAAACTCTGGTTTGGTTGTCTATAGTTTTAATATACAGTTGGGCATCGATTGTTTGAAATAATCAAGATGATCTATGCCCTACCATATATTATGATGTTTGAATGATTAGCTCTTGTTCTTAATATTTCTTGTCTTTTCCATTAAGTTTGTAGATTGCAATAAAACACTGTATTGAATACATAACAAAATTAATATTAAATAACACATGGTTTTCATGTAAAAATTATTTATTATAGTTTTGTTTTGAAGTAAGTCACTTATTATGCTTTGTTTTACATAGTATAATTTAAGAAAGACTATTAATAAATCCCTGCTTGAATCTAAAATTGAAAAATCTGCTGTTGGTTACATTTATAATATCAATGCTGTTTCTAATGCATCAAGCTGTGCTCATTGCCTAGGCACACTGAAGTATTCAATGCATTAGAAGCTTGTGATTTATTAATCATGCATTTCTGTTTGTACTGTAATAAATAAAACCTAATACTAGTGCTGATAGTGAGATATTTCAACAGCGGGCCTATAGAAGATCATTGAAATTGTTGTTATATAAAAAATTTGTAATTTCTGGAATTAATACTTTGAGTTGATTTTGGATAATCAATGCTTTACTGTACTTACTTCAAATTTTAATTTCTTAGTTTGCTTATATGCACAAATTATTTTTATCATAATGTTTAAACTGTAAATAAAAAAAGTATTAATTTATATTTATTTCATTGAAGTAATATGTAATTGGATATTATAAATTGAATAAGAAAATTCATATTCAATAGAAATCTTTGTGAGTTTGTAAACAGTTTTGATTTAAATTGTATATTATACTGAAATATAGTAAAAACTAATATATACAGTAAGACCCTGTTTAATGCTGATTCAATATAATGTGGTCTGCTCAAAGCCTAAAAAAAAGCTCAAAAATTTGCGCTGATTCAAATTATCACGGCATTTCATTGATTCATATATAATATGATTATTTACAAACACAAACCAATCAGCAAAAGGTGGCAATTCGTCATAGTTCTGTACTTTCCTTAAATCTATATTTGTTTGGTGCAATTTTGAAAAAAAAAATTATAACATCGTGGATGCCGTAGGCCAGTGTTTTTCAACCTTCTTGAATACGCGACCCCTTTACAAGTTAAAAAATTCTGGCAACCCCCCAGGGCCATATTAAAACTATATCAGTGATTTTAAAAACTACGTATTTAATTTTCTTTCTGTTGAGACCTAAATATCGATCGAAAAACCAATTGTACTGTAAAATAAACAAGTACAGCCTTCTCACTGAAATTATAGTTTTTTTTATTGTAGTGTAGGACCTACAAACACTTGTCTTTTTCTTTTACCCAAGACTCCCCATGTAAGGCTTTGCGACCCCCTGGGGATCGTGACCAGTGCCGGCCCGAACCAAGTTTTAGAATGGAGCGAGATCCTATTATGGCGCCCCCCTTGGTTGTCCCTAATTTATACCCTTTAATTTTCTTTACCACTGAGGCGCCCCCTAGGACAGCGCCTGGAGCGGCTGCTCTGTTCGCCCTATGGTAGGGCTGGCTCTGGTCATGATCCACAGGTTGAAAAACACTGCCGTAGGCAATATCGACTTTGCTTTGCAATAATTAACTGATAAATGCATGAATGGAGTTTGGAAGAAGTTATGGTTGAAGGTATTCAGGGCCAGATCATTGCATAGACAAATGAGACAAATGTCTAGGGCCTGGTCAAACTGTCTGTTTTGAAAAGATTTGTAAATAAGATAGTTTATTTACTAAACTAAAACAAATCTTAAATTTTTATTAATAAAAATTTAAGATTTGTTTTAGTTTTTCACATTTAGTTTTGTTTTATTTATTGTTTCATATTTCTTGTGGGAGAGGGAGTGGACCCGGTAAGAAGAAAATGTCTAGGACCCCAAAGTGGGTTAATCCGACCCTGAAGGTATCCAAGAATTCTCAAAGAGAAGAGCCTATCATTGACCAAATTGTCAACCTAATCAATACTGCAGGACTAGGAGATGTAGACGAGTAGGATATTGAGTATTTACCGCAGGTTTCTGGTGAGAACCTAATCAAATTTTAGCGAATGATTCAGATTTTGAAAGCAGTGCAAAAGCAAAATGAGGCGTTTTGGATGCAATCTTCTGCTATCGACATTTGCTTAAGGAAAGAAAAAAAAGCAACAAATGAAACTACATAACTTTATTGCAAAAAAAAAAAGAAAAGAAAAAAAACAAGAATTTCAGAAAAGCCAGGTCCTTCCTCACAAAAAATGAACTTTACATTTCTGTGTGTATATGTTTGTGTTATTTAACATATATTATTATGCAAATTAATATAAAAGTAACATAAATTATAGTAAAATTTGTATTTTTGGTTGCGTGTTCCCCTTTCCCTATCTACTCTATGTTAAAATGATCTTGTTTTACGCTGTTTTGTTTAGGGTTTTTTCGTCTAGGAACATATCCCCCACATTAAGTGGGGTCTTACTGTATTTATATTTTTTGGAAAGGCCTTAAATTACATTGATGAAAAAGTCTTGGAAATGTAAAAAAATGTGTGTGTAATCATCAATGAAATTGCATCAACTGGTATGTGGGATGTAGAAACAAATATTGCACCAGACCAGTCTGGAGCAATGTTTGCATTTACAACCTGTATATATCCAATAAAAAATTTTTTTTTATCTTGTAGATAGATAGAGTTAATATAAAATATATTAATAAGAAAAGAATTGCCTAAAACAATTGCAGATAAGTCTCCATATTATTATACCATATGGTCTCCATGAGTATTTTGAAAAACATCAAAAATAAGTCATAGTTACAAGCCATTTTTAATAATTTATTCATATATAATTTGGTGGTGGCTACTGTTTGGGATATTCTATTAAAATTTGAGAAGAAAGGTTAATGATTTTTATAATAAATATTCCATTTAGAATTTTCTCATTTAACATATAATAACAAATAATTTCACCATCAGAGAAGACTTAGACAGTATTTACATTGTCTAGCTTTTTATAGAATTCATATTTTGCATATTTGACTCGATTACAAGAGGGGTTTAAAATTATATATATTTCAGATTTATTTGGAGAAAAATTTTAATCAGTAAACTATATTTATATGAAATTAATTACAGCAAAGGATGATTACAACAATTTATCATTGTATGTGTCTTGAAAAATGATCAGTTTATTAACATTAAATTAGATATTTTTTCTAATGTTTATAAAATATTATTTTGTATCTAAAAGCAGATAGATAATATAACTAAACAAAAACTTGCAATGTGCAGTCTAAGCTAATTTTACCTTTTCTATAGAAAAATTACCTATAACAACTAAACAGTACTGAATATTTAATGCTGTCTTATGACAATAAATGTAACACAGTTTTACCAAAATGAGCATTGCATAAAAAAAGGAAATGTTGATTTCATAAGTTTACATGGGTAAATTACAATGTCAGTACTATGAATGAAATTTTTGGCATAATTTTATAATTGTTAAATGTTTGGATGTGGTTTGTGTCCTTAAACATTTAACACAATCCAAACATTCACTGCCAAATGTTTTTCATATCAAACATATAGTTAACAGATAATTCTATTGAGGTATACTTTAAAATAGATTAAAATTATTGATAAAGATATAAAGTTTTATATATTGTGTTAATATCAGTATTGTTGCAATTTCTTAAAAGATAATAATTAAAATGTGCTAATATAATCAAAAATGAAAATTAATATCAGATTAATATCTTTGTGTATTAGTTACATAGTGTTTAAAGACCAAATTTTGTAATTGTCTTCATTATGTATATTGTTCAATGTTATTGCATTATGATCTCTAAAAAATGTTTTAATTTATTCACTGTAACTGAAAATATTAATATAATAAAGTTAGAAAAGATGATAGTATTACTATAAATATTAAAAATCGTAATAATAAACATAATAATCATTTTTGTTGTTGACGTTGTCATTGTCATTGATATTGTCATTGCCATCATCATCAGTATCAATTCCTGATTTCTTATATTTCTCTAGACATTGTTTAGCTAGATCATTGGTTTCTTTTTCAATATAATATAGAATCTCCCCATCCTCATCTACACAAAATTGATTTTTTCCAACAGTTTGATGATGATTGTAATTTCCAGTATTGCCATTGCATTCAAGCCGCGGATAATGGGTACTCATAAATTCTGTATCATATTCATCTCTGGCACAGTCTGAAAATACATTTTTTAATAAAATTATTTTTTGAATATTTTGGTAAATAAAGGTAAACAGAAACTTACTACAGAGCATCTCTGTCTTCATATTAGCTTTTTCAGAACTATAACTTTTGAAACTTTTACCATTTCTATCTGTACAGAAACACCTATAATTTGAAATAAAATTTAATAAATTTTGAATTCACTGACAATTATTAAATTTCATAACATTTTTCATTACATACTTATCAGTAAGACACTGTTTTCTTGAAAAACTTCCATCATAATCACAGTCTACATCTTTCAGACCGATCAATTCAACTCCTTTTAAAGAAAACTGGTGAGTAATTAACTGTGTTCGTTGGACTATTTCTTCACATTTTGTTAAATAATTCTTTCTATGCTTTTCAACATCATCTGTCATGATTATAATTAGTAGTATAATGACAATTGTTCAAAAGTTATATAATTATAAATGAAAAGTTACTCACAACAAGGAAGTAAAGTGATATTTTGAATTAATGTTACTTGTCCTATATGCTTCCCCGAGATAGGATCGGAACAATAGCACACATTTCCCACACATTGCAATTCTTCATAATTACCATTTAATGTACAGTGTTCATGTGGTTCTGTATTCCAAGCAGTTCCAGAATTTTTTTCTTGCTCAAAAAGTGTCAAAGAGCAACCTAAATTTTAGAATATACAATATTAAAAATATTAAATTATCAGTTTGAAAATGTTTAATCTTACCACAAGTCATATTTTTATCCATTTCTTTGTTGGCTTGGCCAAATATGCGTTTTCCATTATTTTCAAAACAGAAACATCTGTCAAAAGAAATTCTATTATTTATTTGTTTATCTAATTGTATTAAATGATTAAAGATTAGGTTTGGTTAATGACTTTTTAATATATCTTAAAAACCTATTTAAAAAAATTTAAGATTTATATGATGTTATTTTGTAATAATAGGAGACTAGTTGTTTGTTATATACATGACAAAAAATGCTATTCAAACTAATCTGAATCCATCTTTAAAAATTACAATGCATTGAAAAAATAATTAAATTAAATTTGAATTTAGATTTCTTAAAAATATATTATTATTTTTCTTGTTTTGCTTAAAAGTTTACCAAGACATCCCATAAACTGTTGTTGTAGTTATTTACTTATTTAATTATAATGAAATTTAAAAATTGGAAATACATACAGAAAGTTTTTATTGTTATTAAAAATGGTTGTATGATTAGGTTATTAACATATAGCTTCCTAGAAACTTCTTACATATATTTCTGCATAAAAGATTTTGATATGTCTACTAGAAAATCAAAGGTATTCAAAATTAGTGCCACCATAATTAGTGCAACACTTAAGAAAAACATGTGACTCAATTTCCTGCTTTGCATTGAATAAAAAACCAAAATAAACATAAAAGAGTTACTTACACACTATCAGAAAGCAAGTTTAATAAAGAATATTTTGGCATTTTAAGATTTAAAATTGAATACTAAACTGTGGAAGTATACACTAAACAAGAAAAAATTGTCTAATATGAAAATGAGAGGTAACAGTTTCAATTTTACCAATTAGATGCCAGTTTTTTTGTACTAGTACAAGCCACCAATGAACATAAAACACAAAATACAGCAATAATCCTTTGGGCATAAATTAAGGACACTTTCTGTTTTTCTATTATGTGGACAAGCAATTGTCTTAAAAAAAAATAACTCTGTGCCTATTCTCATCATTAAGAGAACAAACCACAGTTTTTAGAGAGATTGCTACTGTTTTAAAGTGTCAACTGGTACTGTTTCAAAAATTCTCAAAAGACATGAAGCTACTGGTGAGATTACTGATAGACTGAATATAGGTCAAAGAATCACATCATCTTGACAGGATTGAATTTTGCAGCAGCTGTTACTATCTGATTGGCACTTAAACTGTAATGAACTTCAATGCCAGATGTGCATGCAATAACAGTGTGGATGTTAGTGCATGCTCAGTCTTACAGCAACATAAAGAAAATGGCCTGGAAACTTATAAAGCTTGAAGAAAACTATTAGTCACTAAAAAACAACACTATCCATATGTTAAGTGGGCAAAACAAGCTCAAAAATTGTACCATGGAACAATGGAGAAAAGACATTTGGAATAATAAAACTGTTCTCTCATTTCCCAGACCAGTAGCAAGATTGATTTGCCAACAACCAAACAAAGAGTTCATTCCTACCTATATTGTTCATACCATCAAGCATCCTCCAAAGGTGATAATCTGGGCTGGCATATCAGCCTGTAGTATCGTATAATTCTGATGCACATTGTTCAGAATTCAGTGAGTGGTACAAAATGTATTGGTGTTGAAATGAAATTTCTGCTTTCTGCAACCTGTCATTCAAAGCTGGAACATATCTTAACATTCATCAATGTTCTTCCTTACACATTCTAGCAACTGCTGTTGAAAAAGCTATTTGCCTATTCATAGGGCACAGTTATGTCAGACCTAACAACTTTCAAGTGGAAATGATTGTTGGTGCATGTCTGGTAGGGGCTTCTCTGATCTGAGTTGCTGAGCTGATGGGTGTAATGTATTGCTTTCTTGATCACATCTCAGTATGCAAAGACAGCGAAAACTCTGCCAAAAGAAGCAACTGTGGTCAAAAGTCAAAGCTGGATGAAAAAGATAGAAGAGCACTTCATTGAATTGTAAAGAGAAAACAAAATTACAGCAGTGCACATTACTGCAGAAATGGCTACAGATGCAAGGGTATCGGTATCAGTAAAAACTATCAATACACACTGCATAAAGATAATATTGGTGGCAGGGCTGCAATAGCCAAACTTCTGTTGATACCAGGAAACATCAAACAGGCATGTGTAGTGATGCAAAAGGTATAAAACAGACACCAGGCATGGAAACATATGATATAGTCTGGAAAGCCAACTTTCATTGTGTTTCCTATTTCCAGTCATGTTTATGTTGGAAATCACTGGGTGAAGCACTGAGTGAAACCCACTGTCAAGCATGGCAGAGTTTCTGTATGATTTTGGGTTGTGATATTCAACTTGTTGAGTCTGAAGGTAAAGTAATAGTCCAGAACCATCTGCATATTCTGAATAACCAACTCCATCCCATGATCCAAACTTTGTTTTCAGATGGTAATGCAAAATCCTTTAGGACAACAATGGTCCTATATTCACACTGCTGGGTGTATTCAATCTTGGTTTGAAGAACATGAAACTTACCTTTAGCATCTACCATTCTTGGCCAATCACCAGACTTGAATATTATTGAGCCTGTGGGGCATTTTCTTGAGAAATAGGTTAGATTTCTACTGTCTACTTCCTTCAAGGAATTAGCATCAATATTAGTTGAAGAATGATACAAAATTGACATTAATGTTGTTTGTGATTTAAAAGCATTTTTGGTTAGATTTCATACAATTGTGAAATACTTCCCAATAATTTGCAATTAGATGTCATCGCAATTCACATTTCAACACAATACAAACTAAATAGAAATGCAAGCTTGACATTGACAGGCTTATTTAATGATTAAATAAGCCTGTCAATGTTTTTCAATTGCAATCAAACATTTTTCATTCCTACTATATAATAAAGACCAACTGATATACCTTACTTTTAAGCATAATACACTTTATATTATACACTTTTTCCTTGCAATTGGACATATTAAAACCATGAACTTATTTTTAAATGTAAATACAGTATAATTTTTAACTTCCTGATATATGCATGAAAATGATCTTAGCCAAAATGTAAATTTTTATAGCATTATTAATAATTTTAACAATAGAGGTCACAAGTTATCTGAAATAAGATTTTTTTGAATAAAAATCTATCTTAGATTATGTTAGATATCTATTTAATTCTACTGTAGTTTCTATTTCTCCTTATAAATCTGAAATTAAATTTTTTTTTTTTGATATTTAAATACCTTCCTATGATGTAAAATCATGATGATTCCATTGTTTTCAGTGTGGGGGCCGAGGGGGGGAAAATAAAAAAAATCTCGACGAACGATAATATGTGATATGTATCGTCATCGTCTCCCTTGCCGTTTGGATTGCCAAGCGGTAACAATCAACGACATGTGGAAGCAGTTGAGTCAGAGATAGATGCTTCGTTTACAAACAACACAATCATTTATTAAACACGAAAGAAGCTTACAAGATTTCCGCGATCTTGGAAGTTCTGCGGCCTCTGGGTCTTCCTCTCCTTTCCAAGATAGTCCCATTTTGAAGGAGTGTCCCTTGTTCGTGAATGAACAATTCCATCACGTCTCAATGACTCCGGGACGATGCGGTCGACTTCCGTTGATAGAAACATGCTGATCCGAGGTCGGGAGATGGAGACGAAGATGAATGCGAGACACACACACACAGCAACAATCCGTCACTTGGAACTTTCGGGAGAAGAAGCCCCGCGTCCTCGAATTTCCGGGGTTTTATCTGTTTTCTCTCAGATTCCCCTTTCCGATTGGTCTCCCGTCGTCACCTGATGACAATTCGAAACCTTTCGGGGGCGCGGGAGAGGTCAAAATCGAAGTTTAATTCAATCTCCAACTGGAAATGGTCGACGGACTTACATTCTTCTATTGTTTTAAAGTCTTCTATTGTTTTAAAGTCTTCTATTGTTTAGCGTCGCGTTTTCATATCATAAAAATCTATTTCTATCTAATATATTATTTTCTCTAAAATAATTATTTTAAAGCGAATTTTAGTGAGGGTTCGGACCTGTCCAGAGCCTCACACAGTGAGGAAAAGATGTGGTGATGACATGACAGTTTACTGGTTTCAAAAATGCCAAAGTCAAAACTGAAGGAATTAGTAAATAATTTTAAAGATAAAGGAATTACAACTGATGACAGTATTCTGAGATTGAACTATCTGGTGCTTCCATAATATGAATGAAAAGTATTTCTCTTCACAGTTTAAGCAGTACATTAACTAACATATTAACTAACTAACTAATGCAAAACATATTTCCAACAGGGAAAGAAAGAAGAATGAAATAAAGGGACAGATTTTTGTTTTGGCATCATTCAATTCTGCAAAGAACAATGCAAACAAGAAAAATGAATTTTCATGGAAACTAGATACAGCTTTAATAGTCAGGAATTGTTGTTAACAATGTAAATCATCCGGCATTCAAAAACTTGCTAGACAAGTATACCAAGCACTTGATCCCTGACCAAAGCATGCTAAGGAAATTTGTGTGGCCTGCATATGTAACAACTTTCATAAAACATGAAATACAGTATTAGGAAACAACCCTATTTTTTATTTTGGATATGCTGAACATTCTCATTGTTCTGTTAACAGTGATGCCACTACAACTCATTCTGTTAAGAGTTTACAAATTAAAACAGACAAATTCCACAATTATGGAGGCCTTCAATGATGCATACACCAAATTGTGGAACTCTACCATTCTGTATGAAGAGGTTTGGTTATTTGTAACAGACCAGGCACCATACATGCTAAGTGCATGCTCAAATATAGAGTTGATGTATCTGAATCAGAGACTCATCACTCATCTTGCTCATTGCCTTAACAGAGTATGTAACATAATTAAGGCAGAATTTCCTTGGCCAACAATTTTATTTTAGAAATGAAAAAGGCTTTGATTAAATTTCTTCCAAATATACTCATTGCCATAAAAATTAGTACACCAAAGAGTTGTCAGAATTGAATGAAATTGTATATATGTGAGTGTAACGGTGATAAGTAAGTAATTACAAAAGAAAGCAAAAGAATCATTTATTACAGGAAAACAAATGAAAGGAGTGATTGCGGTGATTACAAAT